GCGGGGGGAATGCGGAGGCTTCCCCAGGCCAGCCGAGAGACATAGTCCCTCCAGCGTGTCCTGGGTCTTCCCCGGGGCCTAAAACTAAACACATTTGCCCAAAACCTGGTGCATTGTTGAGTTCAATCTCTACCTCAACTCACCTGTGTAAAACTGATGTTCTGACCCGACACCCTGAGGTGATGGCCTATACCCACCAGTTAGTCCTCAGTACACTCATCAAAACACACACTTACGTCTCCATCCTCACAAGGCCCGGCAGAGCTCGTCAGAACACCTGGACCGGTGTCGTCATGTCAGATAGCCCCGCCTCCTGCTCTGTCATTGGTCAGACCCAATTCAGAGGTGTTCCTAATAATCTGAGCCTCTCATGCACGTAGCTGGGGAGGACGAAACCAGAGACACCTCTATGTACAACACCACCTTTACCTACGACCTCAATAATAAACATATACAGAATTTATACATTTATAACAATTGAACCTGATTAGACTTCCGGTCAGGTGAAGCTCTGTTGTAATTAACTGTAGAGCTGAACCAACTAGTTGACAGCCATGTATTCACAAATAAAAAAATTTAAAATCCGTGTTCGCTTCCGGCCAACTGCACATGCGTCGTTCCATGAGCGAGCTTAGCGCGTTCTGGACAAACAGCTAGTTCGTGAATGTGTCGTCAGAATTGTGTTGTAAACAGTGTTACGTAATTTCATGAAATGAATAAGATAATGTAGACAATATTTCCTAAAATTAATTTTCAAAAGTACCAGAAGCTGATTTTAATTAACAAAAACTATGTTCAAACAATTATAAATAGCCCACAGATGGAGAAAGGCTGAGGCAGCATGAGAGGTTTGTCAAGAGGATATGGAAGGACACCTGATCTCTAAGGTCTCTATTTAGAACTAATTCAATCAATTGATTGATCGTTTTGTATTAGTATTATGTTCTGTTCAACCCAGCACTTCTCACAGAGGTATCACACGTTTCCTTCACTTCAGTGGACATTACATCCACTTACATTCGTTTCCTGGAGATGAACCCTAAGCACTACCTGCCTAACACTAACCTCACTCTAAAATGTAATAGGGAGGGGACACAGAGTCCCACAGTGAGACTGTGTAACACTCCCCCCAACACACACACACACACACACACACACACACACACCGGGAACCCAGTAAAAAAAACTAACAAAAACAATTAAGCATCCGGGCTTTATCACAAAACAGGTTTAATTTAATATCTCTTTATTTTTTTTAAAATAATTAAACATTTGTATTTCTCCAACCCTTTTTATCTTTTTTTCAGTTTTTAAATCATATTACATCTGGGCCATTCTGAAGCACAGTAATTCTGCCAGGGAGGAGGGGGGAGGTTCAAACTCCCAACCGGACAAAGTGGTCTGCTCCGTGCTCTCCCTCTCTACCCCCCACCCCCCAATGCTGACCCCCGACTCACTGCCTGCCTGCCCTCATCCCTA